TTTTTTTTTTTTTGTAATTTTACAAGATCAATGAAAAATAAAATTTTTTTTTTCATCTAAGATTTTGATTCATTCCACAACTGATCGATTACAACAAAAAGTGATACTTAGGTAAACCCAAACAACAACACTTGAAAATGACAACTACAAGGTCGAGTTATAACCGTAAAAGAAGTGAACAAATTAGAGCCAGATTAAAACGCTATCCCACCGGCCGCAATCCTAAGAAAACCGAGCGGACGCAAAAGATTTGACCACTTGAAGAGACTGAAGGAAGAGGGTCACCAACTTTAAAGCTGGGCGAGGTACAACCCCGAACCAATCTCTTCCACAACAAGGAATCAAAGCAAAACTCGGCTACCCATGTAGAGAAATACCATGGAGGAATACCACGCTTAGCCTAAAAATAAAAATTCTTTACAAGCAAACTTGGAAGAAGGAACAAATGAGGAAGCTTATTAGACGCGGGAGGCTAAGCCAGGCCGGTAATAGGGCACGAGACACTCCACCAAAACCCCAAAGGCCTAGGTCGAGAATCAAACAACCAATCACCACTGAACCAGAGGAGAACAAACCTAGGCCTAGAGCTGAAGAAAGGAACTTGACTAGTAGGAAGAGCAGTTATGCCGCGCCGTCAAGAGATCTTGAAGATCAATACATTCGGGCTCCCAAATCGACGAACCCAGCTCTCCAATCTAGAATCAAAACCCCACCGAAACATAACTGAAACCAGCTTAATCTCACTCAAAATCTAGGATTTGAAATGAAAACGGCGAACCAAGAAACCGCCTAAAACCATCGCGAAAATCAGCTTGAATGGTTAGACAAAACCAACGAGACCGAAGCCCTAACAGAGCCAAATCGCTGTAACTCTCCAAGCATACTCAAGACCACAAAGACAGAATCAGATCTCAAGATCTCAAACCAAGACCCGAGATTTGACCAATAACCAAACATAAACTACTAAAAGAAAAACTAGGGATACACTGAGACAAGGGACCGACGACGGTGTTGTGTTAGCCGCCCATCGCCAGTCAATCTTGGAAAATCTGAGATGAGGGTGCGGCTGCTTCGATAGAGAGAAAATTAGGTTGTTTGTATATTATATTGACAAAATAAACTCTATATTCTGCAAAATTTATAAATGTGCTAGAATGGTATAACCACTCTTGCAATTCCATATGTTTTATCAATCATGAATTTATGCGGAATCACAATCTTAGTTAGACCATTGTCTTGCAATATTTAGCCATTTCTACCAATCATAAGATCTTGTAAAATCACAATTTGTATTCCATTTTTTCATAAGATCACAAGATTTATCACTAAAAAAACCTTCTATTATGCAAACAAAAGTTCATTAAACTAAAGCTTTTTGCTTCATAATTCCCATAGATATGATATGCTACTATATAGAGGTTTTTTAATCCCGTTCCATTAAAATACCTAATTCTATTTTTCATTTCATTTTTGTGCAATGTTACTAATTAGAATGTAGAACTAAAACAAACAACCTTTCGTATTAAAATTGAAAACCATTTTGTCTTTTCCTATTGGCACATGTAGTTATCAACAAACATTCTCTAAAAGTCACCCACTCACACTAATAATATATACAAGCAAAAAGACTAATAACAACTTTAGCTTCTCTTTAAACCTTTGGCAACACTATTGCCATGTAGCTTCCCTAGAAATCTCACTGCCACTATCATCAGTCATTTCAGATCTTGTTGAATAGCTGATTCCTGCTTCTTCAAGGTAATGGTTATTATCTTGTTCTATTGCATTGTAATGACTGTTGTTGCAATGGCCTGAAACCATGTTGTATGGTGAAATGTTAACGTTTTGATGGGAGGAAGATTCGCCAACCATTTGCTGGCGTTCAGCAAGAACAGCGATTGCACAAGCTAGTCCACCAGATGGAGAGGACGAAGATGGTGTCGATGGTTCTACATTATGATCTTCTTCTGAATTTTCATAAGAAGATGTGTTTCTCTTAATTCCAGGCTCCTGATTAGAAAGAAAAGAGTTATAGGCCTATCTTATTCAAAAGTATGAAGTTTATTAACCGAACAAAATTAACCTGAATTGAGAGCCATATTGCTTCCATGACCATTATATCCTCAAGATCAAAGTCAAACTCGCCATCCCTGAAATGTTTACAAGATATGGACCACTCAGATTCAAAGTTTATAACACGTTTTACCGTTGTAAATATTTAGCTTTAGCCAGAACAAATGATGTGAAAATGTAAAACCATAACCGATAAATAGAGAGACAAATCATCAAGTGGCACAATAGTCCTCACTTCATTAGTCATTATAACTAGTTCAAAAGCATAAAAATTCCTCAAGAGAAAGAACTGATCTAATAAAAAAGTTAACAGCTAAATCGGGAAAAATGGTTGCAGGGATAAATCTTCATACAAGCCTCAGGGCATGGACCGACATAACAAGTCTTTCAGATCCTCAAGAAAGACAAACCTGTTACCCCGGGGGTGTGAAGTAACACATGAGTCCTGAGATGAAACTATTTCCTCATCCTCTGCGCGAGAAACTATGAGATTGAGATTGTGAACCAAGGAAAAACAAAAAGGGAAACACTACTAATACATATGCCTCACAAAAAGATTTTAACACATTCTAAACAGAGAGAACTAAACAACCTGCAGCAGAACCATATTCTGTATCAGCAGTCACTGAACTTGTGCTAGAAGAAAATGATTCCAGACGT